CTATAACTGTCTCTGGAAGTGAACGCACCAGAAAATAAATTAAGTCCTACGCAGCTGTCATCCGTACGCAAGGAATTAAGCACAAGATGCCGAAAACCCTTAACAGGATGCAGCGCACCCTTCACGCGACTCGCCGAATATTCCACGGCGCTTCGCGCTTGGTGATGTGAGAGCCTGGTCCGGTGAGAATCCGGCGTGCTCCGTCCCGGCTTTGTAGGGATGCGAGGTCAATGGTCTAACGACTACGGCATGCACGACTATGAGTACANAAGGCATGCACAACAATAGAGCACCGCCCCCCCCCCCACTGTTGTTTACGAAACACCCATGCCGGAATACACTACTGCTGTACACCTTGGAGACCACGGAATTGCATACAATCTTTGCTACTGCTGCTGTGTTCTGTTGTGCTTCGTACACAACCATAACGAGGACTCACGCCAGGTGAGGGCCTGTAACGCACGAACATATATTGTGGAAAACAAATACTTGTAAGTAACAAATATTTTTCATCACTTCGATCAGGTTAGACCCTTTAAGAAGCCATATGCTGGTTTTAAGATAGGTTTTCTCTTAAACTGAAATCCCCGTTGAAAAGAAAATCTATCTTAAATCGGATTAAGAGGAGGCCGTGTTTAAGATAGGTCTTCTTGGTCCTGCATACCCCTCTCTTTAACCGTAGCCCCCACTGTAGCTCGTTTTCTGTCGATGCGAACTCGCGATGTGTTCAAACGTCATGGGCTACTGATCGACCAACTTCCACCAGGGCCAATCGGTTGGGATCTCTGCGACAACGATAGTAATGAGGGTAATTATTTTGGGAGTAACGGAGACGAAGGAAAGGGAAAGGGAAGAAAGGAGGACGAAGACGACGATGGAGGAGGAAAACATGGAGGAGTGGAAGAGAGCAAAGGGTTTGAGCCAGATGACCTTCCCCATAACAAAAAACGTAGGGCTAGGGAAGAAAGAACTGCCCAGAGATTCTTGTCAAAATGGGGATCAGAATGATGGTAGCGAAAACAAGGAGGATAATGGTGAAGTACTCCTAAACTGACTCGAGTACAAGGTAATAGCCTTGGTAGACGCGTGCACTTTTTTTCTGTTGCTGCTGTTTCTGTCTTTGATCCGAAGGATAGTTTAGCCTCCCCCATGCTGCCCCCTCACGGGGTCCCAGTTCATGGCAGATATAAGTTTTTTGTGTTTTCAACCGCACTGAGACTGACGTCTTTTCATCGGTCAGCCGGTTAGCGCGGTCGATGCTAATAATAAAACACACACGCAAAACGTCCCGCCGAACCCTTGTGAGCGCACAAAAAATATAAGACAACGTTCGTTGTTCTTGATCACGGTATGTACACCAGTTATCAGTCAAGTGGACGTATGTGGGCACGGGTAGGTGAAGGTCCCCTGCGCTATTGGTGGTTGACGACTAACAACGCGGCCGACCCGGGTCTTTTTTCTCATTGTTTTCCCCCCAGTCACCACGGGAGGGGTTATCGCAAGAATATTCTCGACCAAACCAGAAAAGTTACTATGTGTTTTTTTACTCAGATACGCAACCAACAAGCAGTGTATTTGGATCCAGACTCATCAGCTGCAATTATTGTTAATAATGTTGTGATGCAAATTTCGCGACGTGCAAGATGACCACTTTCATGTTGATGTTATTGTTGAGTCGTGATGATTTGGCTACAACAAGCTCTTAAGTTCTTGGCGTGATGCAATAAGATGGGGGCCACCCATGTGCTCGGTACACCATATACGCATGCCTTAATTAATCGGATCACACCCGAGTCACGAAACGATATTCAACTCGGACGGACACTTGTCACCCATGTAATTCCCCGCGTTTTCCCGTCGCCCCCTCTGTCTCCGGAGGCTGGCTGCGTTTGGTGGGCCCGTACTCCGCAAACCAAGAAACGATACAAGGCAAAATGAGCATGCTTCGTTAACTGCAATAGGGAGAAAATCTTTACCAAATTGCAAGGATTGCTTCGCTGCCAAGTACTCTATGATTATTAATTTTCCCGTGCGTGCATCAACAACCTGAAGTTACCCTGGCATGGCAATACACGATACTTCGTAGTACAACCGAAGCACACTTTTGGACCACACGGCTACGGATTTCGATCAAGAGCAGCACGTGGCTACATCCGCATCATATGCTTGTTTCACAACATGGCAATGGTAAGGTTGGACCCCCAGCGTTGGTTGCTGATAGGCTGGCTGCCGTTACAAACAAGTAGCATTTGCACCAACAACAACACGTGACTTCACGTGGTGCATGTTTTGCCAAGAACAGGTGCTGATTGGCATGGATCCCAGGGTTCGTTGCGTGCAGGTGTTGTCAGTACAACCGGGCCAACCAACAACAAGAAAGCAACAACACCAACAACGGTTGTGGTTTTTTGTTGTTCGTTCCCACGAGCGCCCCACGTGGCTTGCTGGTGTTGCAGCACACCATAGTGCTAGACGAATTTAGACGAATTTAGAATTGAATTCCCTTGTGCCAGGAACTCCTTTTTCTGCCTTTCTTTTGGCCTGGTCGTTCTACCCTCCTCGTGTTGCTGCCGTTTCTGTGAACAAAAAAAGAAACCCGCAAGAGAACCACGGAAACCTAGCCCCCCACCCCCCCCGGCGCGCGCAGCCACGCGATCAAGCACTGGTTCGTCTGCCTTGCACGCTTCCCGAATCACGCCGTGCCGTGTCCACGTGGAATCACTCATACTCTACGGGGGATCTTTCACCCTCCTTTCATAGGAGCGACAGCTGTATTTTTTCCGAAGGACCCATGTTCGTTTGTCACGACGCCGATCATCACACACAACCTACAGTACACATACCCCCCCCCCTAACCCTACCCTTCGCACCGCCGGCTCCTCCCCCTCGCCGCGTTTGGTCGGCCGCGCAATGCATGGAACGCAAAAAAACGAACGCAGGAAGGATGGGTCTCGCTGTGGAACACGTACACCAGGCTATTCCCCGGGACCTTCACCGGATGCAGCCCCCCCAGGTCCACGCCCCCTCTCGACTCCCCCCTGTACGCCGCTTCCCCGCGGGCGCCGCCGCCGCCGATGGACGCCTCCCCGAGTAGGAGGAACAAGGCTTCGGGTACGGCAGGAACACCGGACGTCCGCGGCGGCGGCCTATTGCCGGCGGCAAGGGCAAGCGGCGGGTATCCGTTGCCCCCGGCAACGCCCGAGAGCGGCAGCGGCAGCCGTCTCCGGACAACGGCGACGGTGCGCCGCCGCCGCCGCCGCCTCAACCAGCGCCGCCCTTCGACGGCGGCGGTGCCGACGAGCCCCGGCGGCGGCGGCGGCGACGCGTCCTTGCCGGGAGAAAACGATGCCGCCGCCACCGTTGCCGCCACCGGCGGCGGCTGCGCGAAAACGGACCCGGGTCCTTCCCTTCCGGCATTATCTACACCACGACCCGACGGCTGGTTCTCCTGCCACCAGTATCAGCAGCCGGGGGAGGAAGAGGTGGTCGGACATGTTGACGAAATGCTGCTAGACGACGATGACGGCGACGACGACGACGAGGTGCTACCTCGGGGTTACTCCTGGGGACGGCTCTCCCTGATGCCGCTGGAGGAGGCGGGGCGGAAGCTCGGCACGTTCTCGGCAAAGGGCTTCTCTACGGGCGGCGGCGGCGGTGGCGGCGACGGAAGAGGTTGCCTTGACGTTAGCGTCTGCCAAGAGGGCGGCGGCGGCTGTGCTGCTGTTAACTCCGAAGACGACTTGGACGATAATTCTGATGCGGACCTTGAACTGTCAGAAGGGCTCATGTTCGACCTTGAGATGTAGTGCTAGTGGTTGGCTTTTCCGGGCGAGGGTCTCGCACTCGTTAGTTACTGGCATCCGATCAGTCAGTTGGGTAAAAACGGTTATGGGAGAGGGGTTGGAAGAAGTCCAAGGTCATGGGGGTGCAGCCGCGAGTTGGATTAGTCGCACGGCAACCCGAAACGGGTGTGCTGGCGCCAACGTCTTGAGGAGCGTTTAGAGGCTTGAATCGCTGCGTTCGGCGCTGTTACCTTCACCTTTTCCGACTAGCACCTGTTTCGGGTGCCCCGTCTGCGTGACGCGACATGCGGTTCGCACGTTTTCTTTTTTAAATTTCCTGCGGGCTTTTTGTTTTCTGTTCTTTTTTTTTTGGTAGCGGGCCATCCTCCGTGTTTCGTGACTTATTTTACACCCCAGCAGGACCTGGGGTTGTCATTTAATCACGGCTGATGCTAGCCACGCGCTCTTCATCTTTGGTTGAATGTTCTTCTTGACCGTCCGGCCAGGTAGTATAGGTAGGGAGGCAGCGGGGGGCTCCGAAGGGAGCGCCGCCGCTTGTCCATCCCCCCCCGTCTTCGCCCTGGGGAAGAGGAGTTGGGTGTATACTTTGGGTTTCGATGTTGTGAGGGGGGGGGGGGGGGGGGGGGGGNAAGGGAGTCGCGACCGTTTCGGTGGATGGAGGGATGCCTCTGTGGTGTTGGGTCGTTCCGTTTCGCGAGATGTGTGCGCACGATATCTTTTTCGTTTTTTTTTCTTCTCCCCGCGCGAAAATGCCGTCGCTGGTCTGCTGGCTGGTTCTCGTAAATTCTCACGAATAGATTAGAAAAGATGAGCTGGTTGTACCTGGTATTGGGGAGGGCAGCTCTGTGGTGTGTGTTAAGTGTGTGAGGTGAGTGTGTGCTCGACCGCTCCTCCTCGGTAGACTTGTTGTTTTATAGTTGTGGGTGCATTCTGCACGTTACGTCTGTCTGCCGCTGCTGCTGAAGCCCGTGCTTCGGCAGGCGGCGGCGGGTCCATCCACGAGACGCGAGGGTAAGGAAACAGTCAAACCCCACACCGTAGCGCTTGTAGGGAGCGAGGGTCATTCGTTCGTTTAAGGACGGTTTGTAGTAACAGGAACTTTTTTGCGGTCATTATTTGTTTTCGCACGGGTGTTTGGACAGCAAGCAGCCGTGTTGGTATTCGGTGTGTATTGGTTTCGTTGCAGGACACGGGTTACTTGCAAAGAGGACGACGCGGGTTGTGGATGGTGGGTGAACAAGATTTCAAGGAGACGCAACGTTGTCCAAGTCTGGAGTATTTCTCCCCGTGGATAGTCTCTGGGGTTCGAGCGAAGGACTGAGGTGTAGAGTCCGTGTCAGTGTTTGTGTCGTTTTCGTTGCTGTTGTTGTTATGTTGCTGCTGCTGTTACTGTTGCTATCGCTAACTGTTGATTGTACACGACATCCATGATCCACACTGTTTTTGCTATTTGGTAACTGCTTTTTTAGACGCCGGGCGTTGTTCCATCCCCCGAATGTGTCTTGTGTCTGTCGTTTTTTCTTCGTTTTTCCAGTTTTTTTTTTTTTTTTGTCGCCACCTCGTGTTTTGACGTGATTGTTGCCGCCACTCCAAGGTTGTCTTCCGCATGTTTCCCATACGCTTGATGAACTGGTTGGTTGGTTCGGCGTGTGCTTGGCAGGTCGCGCTCTCGGTTGTAGAGCTCTCGTACGCCACCGGTTGGGGGGGGAAACATGGCAGATTGGTCACCGAAAGCACTGGATCTCGTTTTTTCCGTACGCGCCAGCCACCTCTCAAGAACCTCTTGTTGTTTCCCGAGGCAGGCTCGTTTCTCATTGCTGGAACTGTATTTTTGTGTGCCTGGTATGCCAACACCGCCTGAATGGATTTTCTTGCGTAGGAGCCCCTATCTGAGCGCCTGTTCTTACGGTCAAGTTCGTAAATGTTGTTCCTTTTGTGGAACCTGGATCCCTTATCCGCCAGGTTCTCAAAGTGGTCGGCGACCGCCGTATGCTCTTCTTCTTTTTGCGCTCGAGGCGCGAATGCAAGCGCGTACCGTGTATTGGGGGATGGGTTGGGCGTGTTTGGTTGCCAGCGAAAACGATACTTGACGGTTCGGCTGCTGGGCGAGGAGATTTCGTTTTGCGGTAAGGTATTGTATGTATGCAGATGGGACTCAAGAATGGTTTCTTCGTGCCGTACCGGGGGATATTTGGTGCGAAGGGGTATATGGGACGTACACACAACTTCAGGTCGGGATTGGTGGGGCTACGTGTGGTGGCGGGTGTCGTCTTTCAGTGCTGGAAGCTTTTCTAGCGGTTAGTACCCTGAGCCCGCTGGCCGCTTATGGCGTGCTCGGTGGGCCGTGAGGGGGGCTACAGCGGAGTCATCCCCGTTTGGTGGTGGTGGGGGTGCGGTTTGCGGTACAGCAGTGTATGATGTCGGAAAGGCTCTGGTTTCTCGTTTGTGGGGCACGAGTCAGCTGTTTGTCGTGGCCTAACGGTGTGGCTCCTCCAAGAGAAGACCCCTGTGCCCACGAAAACACTCACCATGCTCTTTCCTCTCTCCGATACTGATTGGTATTGTACTAGTCCACGACTACTGTCTCCTGCTTGGAGTTTCTGGTAATTATAGTCGTGGGTGCCAGTGACACGGTTTTCATGTCCGCTCCATCAAACAGCTGTGTTGCCGGGTTATCGTTTCCCTCCAAAGGCTACTACGTGCTGTTTGGCTTTGGTGATGGTCCAAGCGATGTATGTCGATGTATGTGCCTTGGTCGGGCTGTTTCGGGGTGCGCTCCCTTTTGGCTGGTTATTTGTGCGGGGGAGTTTCTGTGGTAATGGGGGACCATGGAAGAATAAATACGGTGGTGATGGAAGAGAGCGAGCGGGGTACGCACCCACCCGTTGACGGTCCTATCAACAGGCACGCACATAGTTCAGGACGGGTGCTGCTGTGCTTCGGGAGGCAAGCGATGAACCGAGTCGAGGAAGGAAGCAGTGAACAAATAAATGCCGTGCATGCATGCCGTGTATTCCTTGCGGTCACTCCATTGTGTACCTCATGTCGCCCATGCTAAGCTTGGGTTTGACCCACACTAACGCACCCTTGCTTGTGAGTATTGTTGTACTTTGGTAATATGCTGCGTTTTGGAATGAAGGGAGGGAATTCACAAACAAAAAATAGCGAAGAACGCGGCCGTAAGAGAAAGGTTGTTGATGTGCCAATCCTCCTATGATATAATGAGCTCCGCGTACGAGACGAAAACAAGAAAAAACACTGGCTTGTAAGAGTTGATACTTGGAAGTACTGTAGTTGTGTTGTCGCCATCAACCTCATGGCTCGCTGTGGTTGGCTTGTTTTCCAGAGTTACGTTGATTGAAACCGTGGTAAACCGCGGCAAGGGGGGGTCGGAAAAAAGAGGAATGAATGATGATTCGCGGAATGTAAGTGTTTTTGGCTACTTGTGGTTACAAAAAATTACCGAGTTCTAGGGGTGAGGGGGGCAGGAAGTGGAGCTGTGGAACGGGGGATAGTGAAGCGACGTTAAAATTTATGTCGTATCGACGAGGCATGGCTCTGCCGTCGGTGTACTGCTGGCGGTACCATTGAAGAATGCGCCGCCACGTTGGATGGATGTTTTTTGTGCTTGAGGTGGACGACAAGAAGTACAATGGACACTTTATTTTTCAACTTTTCCTCATCTTCTCACTACTTACTGCTGTTCACACCTAGACTGCCGTGGGCCGCGGCTTCTTCCCCAATTGAAACATTAGTTTTGATTGGTTCTATCGTCTTCATTTCATTCCAACAGCCGGAACGAGGAACTCAAGTAGCATCGGAAGAGAATGAAAACGAACGTCGTAGGTACATACGTCCTCACGCTGTTCTTATGGAGCCACCGGGGCGAGATGCACGTTTCGTTCCACAAGCAAACGGGCCCCGAACAGCTCTCAGTGACATATAGACAGGCGTATCCGTGCCCTCGAAGGCTGACGATGCCTGGTTCTCTTGTTGCGTTGCCGACAAACCACCGGGGTGTCTGGTCGCTGCATGCGACATTTCTTTCGACTCTCCGTCGCCACCCCCTGCCTGAAATATGACTTGGTTTTTGTGTAAGCGCCCATACATGCATGACTTGATTGTTTTGAACATCTCAGTTTCTGGGCTAAGGTCTCTGTCACAAAAATGATGAAAAAAAGTGTTCTGATGAGACTAGATATCTGTCACACAAAATGAGTGTCGTATTTGTTGTCACAGCAGAAACCCAACTTTCGATTGGGAAAAAGGCGGCGGCGATGTTTCGGAGCGGTTTGACGCTCTGTAAACATTTGAACCCGAACGACAAACCAAACAGTCCAGCACATGTACGTGCAAAGCGACCGGCCGCGTCTCGATGGATGGCGAAGTTTTTCAAACGCCGGTCCAACTCGGGGTATCAAAGCCCGTGCGCACGGCTGTATCGAAGAAATAGGAAAATGTCCTTAACAGGCGAAGTTCTTCTGGCCCCACCGTCCCACCCCACCTTCTCGCCTCGCTGCCATCCTGATGGTAAACTAAATATTACACCCACCCAACGTTTGTTTGCAGAATCCCTATTGCCACACAACAATTCCGCCCGAAAACACAGAATCTCCAGAACACCCCCACCCACGTCTTAGCCGACATCCATTTACAACAGGTGAGGCCTGTGCTCTCAGATAAGGGTGCCGAAAAGTAACACAAATAACTTGACTCGTAGCACCGCCCCCCAATTTCCAAATAAAGCAAAAAGTGAATGATATCGTTCGTTACTGTGAAATGTAAGAGAAAGAAAAAAAACGAAACGCGTAAACCAGACCATTTCCATGCAAGTTTGCAAGACCACCTTTGATCCCATCGGAGCAAAAAAACAAACACGAGGGGGGTAACAAAACACCAGTGGATCATTTTTCTAGGGTGGCAACGGGGGAGGGCAACAGCACCACGGGCGAATGCTTACCCACGCAAGGAGCTAGATCGGCAGACGCCAACCGAGCTAACGGGCTGCTCAAAACACACTTGCGCCGCCCCGCCCCTCGAGCGCCCTCGAGCGCACCCAAACCTTCGACTGTGCACAAACATTCCCGTCTCAAAAGTAAACTCCCCGCAGCAACGCTCCAGATCACCTCCCGTACGATCTATGTCGTCGGGCCCGCATCGAGACGACGACACGGAAAAAGCCAAAGTTGAGCTCTCGTATATGTGTACAGGAATGAGTCAACCCGGAAGCACACCAAACATCTGCACTTTGATCTGTCTGTTACTTCTACGGTGTGATCACGGCCATCACAGCGCCGAGGAAACACAAAAAAAATCACCGCTCTCCCCGTGGGGTGGGCGCCACAACACGCGGGAGCAGCAGCAGCAGAAGCAGCGGCAGCAACAGCCCATTCTTTACATCGATACGGTACGCAGCCTGCCTTCCAGCCGCTACGAGGACGACCCCTCCTCCTCCTCCTCCGCCGCCGCCCCCGCGCCGCCCGCCGTTGCGCCTTGCACTTTTCCGGCAGCAGCGGAAGAAGAAACCACGCTTCCGCCCGCGTCGTCGCCCTCCCCTGGCCCCTCAATGAATGACACTGCCCACATGTCGCGCAGCAAGTCGTCCAGGGGCAGGCGTTGCGTCCCCTTGCCCGCACCAGCAAGAGCACCATCATCAGTACGCAGTACAACTGTCGCCGCTGGTGCTGCAATGTCGCCGGCGCTCGTGCCCTTGGCCGGGAACAAGTCGTTCAGCCGTTTCCGTCTGCGCGGACCCATGTCCGGGTTGCCTGAGACGGCCGCCGTCGTCGAGAAGAGGAGAGAGTCTTCCTCCGGGGGCACCGAGGCCGGTCCTGCCGCGGACTGTTGCGCGTCGCATTCGACGACGACACCCGTCACCGCCTCCCCAGCACCACCATGAACGCAACCCCCGGCGACAACAACTGCCGCCGCGGGATCAGCGCAGGAAGAAGGCCGGACTCCGCAACCACCGCCTTCGCCCTCGAAGTTCCCGACCCCCCGTCCTTCATGACCAACACCTTGTAACTGGAATCCACCGCTGAGGTCACCTCGCCCAACCCCGCTCCCGCTGCTACCACCCCGGTGGGAGAACGAGGGGGCCCCGTAAACCGACTGGATATCCCCCCCTTCCCCTACCGGCAGCGGCCCCGCAACCGCTGCAGGATTCTTATCGTTGCCTCCCTCGACGCGACGCGGTTCTCCCCGCCCGTTGTGCTCCGGGGGGGTGGTTCTTTCTGCCTGCCGCGCCCCACTAGTAGTAGCTGCTCTCTCCCGCTCGAGGCCTTTGTCTGACGCTCGAAAGGGCTTGCCGTTGCCGCCGTTGCCGCCGTTGCCGCCGCCGCCGGCACCTTCGATCCTCCCCCCCGTGGAGTGGAAAAACTCTCCCGACGCCAGCAGGGCGCGGAGGGACGGGTCAATCGAGCCGTCGGCCGCGCCGCCTCCGAGGGAACGCTGGTGCCGCCGCCGCCGACTGCTCAGAGCCGCCGTCGTTCCGGCGGGAAACTTGACCAAGAGGTCGCCACCGCCGCCTTTGTTGCGGGCGGGATCGAGAGCAGTGCTGCCAGCACCCGGAGTGACGGGAATCGGAGCTTCCGTAACGGCGGCGCCGCGAAATGAGCTGCGAAACGGGCCCAGCCCTCGACGCTTGCTGCCAGCGTGGGCGCCTTCTTTGGAGACAGACGGGGCGTGGGTGCCCACCGCCGCCGCCGCTGACACCCCCGTCAGAGGAGAAGGAAGAGGAGGAGGAGGAGGAGGAGGAGGAGGAGGAGGAGGAGAAGTAGTCGCTTGCTGGTCCAATCGGTACCGACCGGTGGCCGATGTTACTGCTGTCGGTGTTGCTGCTGGAGATACCGTTCCCTCCGCAAAGGCTGCTGCACCCTCTCCCGGCATCGCGATCGCGAAAGTCTGCTGCGCCTGCTCCTGCGTGCCGCTCTGCTCCGAGAAGTAGCCCGGGTGCCACGAAAAATCAACATCGAAGCCAGCACTCCCACCGGCGTCAATACTCCCCTCCCCCCCCTCCTCGTCCTCGTCGTCCTCGTCGTCCTCGTCCTCCCCGCTAAAGAAACGGCGGCGCCGCGACACCCGCGGGGAGAAGCCGAGCCCCGAGGCGTGCTCCGAGATGGACTTCCGCAATCGCACGGCGAGGTCTAGCCCGCGCTCGGAAATGCCCGAGATGAATTCGGAGAGGGTCGACGACACCTTGGACCTGCCAATCATCAGGTGTACAAGAATGATGAGGTCAAGGAAGGGCACGGAACTTCCGCCCCAACAGTAACAGCCGTGGGATCATCCCCGGTCACGGGCAACTCTTGTGGAGTCAGACATTATTTGTCGATTTCCCCGGGATCTTTCTGGGGGGGGACACAGCTGGGGTGGGACACACTTGAATCGGAGGGAAGCATGGAGTGGCAGCACTGATCAGGTGTCGCGAGGCGGTAGTGATTCTTCTGCGAAGACAACGATACGAAGGGGGGGCAGACGGTGGCGACGATACCTAACATACGATATTCATCTCTTCGATTCGGGTCTCAGCAATCACGAGGATGGAAGGGGGGGCTCTGCGCCTGCTGCTCAGGCAGCCCAGGCAGCTCAGGCATCCCAGGCATCTCAAGCGCCAGACAAGAGACGGACTTCAGACAAGAGAGAGCTGCCGGCCAGACGGCCAGGACTACCTTTCGTGCGGACGGTAGGCACAAGAAGAGAGAAAAAAAAAAACTCAACCAAGAACAAGCACAATGGCAACAACAACAACAATCAGCAGCAGCAACAACAACAACAACAACGTACCTCGGCGAGTTTTCTGCCGAGTCGGCCGAACTTCTCTCGTCCATGGCGGCAGTAGCGGCCGCGGAAGCGGATAGCCGAGATATCTCACTCTTGGCCCGTCGTCCGAAAGATTCGGATCTAGGAAGCCGATCGCCGTCAACTTTGAGGGGCCCAGAAGATGGCCGAGGAGTGCGAGCACGGAGAGCTTCCGCGTACGTGGCGTTTTCCTCCTAAAAAATGATTGTTCGATTAGAAGGGTGGGGGGGCGGTACTGGTCGGCTAACGGGTCGCCTTGCGTGCCGAAAAACGACGAAAACGGCAATAGCAATCGGAGAAGTTTTCCACAATCTACATGCTCACCTCCAAAGGCACCGCACAAGCACGCAACAAACACCGGCTCTCTCTCTGACAAAACACACGACACATGTGCCCGGCGCTCAGAGCGGCGCGCCCAAACAGAGAGCGAGACGGAAGAGAGAAGAGCATGTTACCTGCAGAAGCTTGAGCTTTCCTTTGAGTGTAGCCACCTCTGTGGACAGGGACCGCAATTTCCTGACCATCGCACCCTCAACCTTTGCGCTTGCCTGGCAGTCACAACACAAGAATTAGCCGCGGCCAAAACACAAAAACATGACCGGGTGATGAAAAACATGTCGAGAAAAGAATATAACACGGATTGTGCTTCATCTAGCGGCCGCCAGGCAGGGATCGGGGTTTGTTTACACTTGTGCGCAAAAAAAAAAAAAAGGGATTTGTTCCGTATGCTACGTGCGACAACATATGCCAAGGGGGGAATGAATCCATCAGTCTGTTTTTTCTCCTTTTTTTCTGGCGAAAATGATGTCGAGATAGATGGCTCATTTTCTTCCGCTCGCCACACGCACGATCCTCTGACGATTTGTCGTCGCGAAGACTCAAAAGCAGCATCGAATTACCTGCCGCACACAACACCACCCATCGGCATGTTCCTCGTCTTGTCTCCTCGTCTTAATGGTGCGATCGTTGATCTTTGCCTTGCCTTACCCTCCATTTAGACCACCCGTCAAGGACGTTATCACGCTGTGCGATGCTGCGCAGCGCCTTTACATGGTGATTGTTCCAGGCTTACAATAGTAACAATTCGAACGAGAGGCACACTAAAGAGAGACTCACTAAGAGAAATCTTCGATTTACGAGAGCGAAAGTGGTTTCGTCTCGGCTACGTTGTAAAAGAGACCATATCAGGCACTTCATATTAAGGTTTTTAAGACAAATCGCAATACAGAGAAGAGATCAGTGGTGGCTTGTCTCGACCCTTTCTCTCAACCCGTATGCTAGTACCATAGCCGCTACCGCTTTTTACCTGGAAGAGACTGTGCCCGCCTCACCTTTGACCGCTCCGCCTCCCGGGCAGAAACCACCGCCTGATCCAGAGTGGAACGCCACCACTGCTCAAGAGCCTTCTTCTCGGACGCAAATTTCTGCAGATGCGTGCACGAATACCCGCACACAGAGAACGAGATGGTGCAATATTGAGTCGTCTACTTGTACTTCTGAAGCAGGACTCTTTCGTCCGATTCCACCCGCCCCCCCCCTGTCTGTCTGTAAAACTCTAGAAAGTGTTCGTGTTGTTTTCTAATCCCATTTTAAAAACTGACGGATTTTCATTGGTCAGTCGGTTAGCGCGGTCGATGCGAAATGAAAAGAATACACAACATGAAACGAGTGATACACACCGCGGACAAAGGTCTTCTCTGGTGTACCACAGTCGAAATCAGTGCCGCCATCGAAAAGCTGGAAAATGTGCCTTTGTGTCCGTTGTCCCCTCTAGATTCGAAGTTGTTGGGCCATTCTTCCGTGCGGTCGATACTACGCGAAGAAACAAGCAGCAAAACACGCATTGCACGCACGCGCGCACACTAACGAGTGCTCCTTCCTAATTTTTGTTCCTCCTGTCAGGTAGCGATCGATGCCGGTAACAATCACACACAAGGAACCCCCCCAACAAAATGCATAAGGGGAGTAAAGGGCAAACCTCAAGTTCATGAACAGTAGGCATTCCACGCTAAGGGCAATCTCTTACTGGGCTACAAGTGCTCTACCCCAACATCGAAAAACGCCAACCCAACAACGAAGAAACACGCCTGATATATACATTTATGTCTCAATGCTCTTCGGCCCGGGTATTTCTCACTCTTCGGAGGCGTCTTTGTTTGTCCTCCGCATCGGCCAGTCCTTGCTCTAGCCGAGCAGATCGCACACACTCCTCTTCCAGCTTCCTGCAGACCGCACGCACAGCGAGGGTCAAATCACATCCGTGGACAGAGATGGGCTCGTTGCGTTACAATAATACAAAAAATGGGGGCTGAGCAAGATGTTCACGTGCGAGCATCAAAGCGCACATCACCCCTATATGTCCATGCACGGTATGCTTGAAATGTGCCGGCGGCAGAACACAATGGCCTCCTTCTTTATCGAGCCGCTTTTTTTGTCACAGAGATGTTGATTCTTTTTGATTTTCCAACATACATCAGGGTGAACTGAGCAAAATGTGGCCTGCTTTTCGTTAGAGAGTAAAAAAAAAAAAAAGCGGAATACGCATCGAGACGCGTCTTCGAGTTTCTCAGGAGAAGAGTTTGAACAAAGAAAAAAAAAAAAATTGACACATCAGGCAAAGAGACTCCGACTAGAAAGGCTTTCTAACCCCCGCGGAAAGGCCCGTCCCGCCCCACCCTCGCCAGAGGGGCCCGCCGTCACGTCCCCGTTGGTGTTCTCCACGAGTAGACCGTGCATGCGTACGTGTCGAGATACTGACTGGGGACATTGATTCGAGAACAGTCCATGGAACACCCCGATCACTCAAAACGCACATCGAAGGCCGAGAGCTCGATCGCAGACGCCACCGGCCTGCAGAAACGACCCCCCCCGCTACAACTTATCCCCCCCTCTCAGCAGAAGAAGACTGCCCGCATAACACGCATCAAACATACGTACCGCTTGAGAGATTTTCTGGCTTTGGCGCCCTCGATCTCTCTCTCCACCCTGGCCTTCATCAGCGCCTGCAGCTCCCTGAGTCTCGAGACGTAACCCCGCGCTTCCGCCGCCCGCATGCGCCGCTGTTCCTCCTGCACGCAGAACGCAAAAAAAAAAACGCAAAAGCACAAACACGCGCACAAACGAACAAATGAACAAACAGAAACGGCAGTTCTGGGACAAGGGTAGCTTGGAACGGAATAAACTGCCAAGCTCAAACAAACGCACGAACCAACAAACCAAACAAGGCAGTTGCGGTTCAAGGGAAACTTGGAAGGCACCGGCGGTGGGGTGTTTGCTTCATGGACCCGAGTCGTTCGAGCGTGGGTAGGCCCAAAGCGTTGCCGTCGATAAGACTTTGTAGCTGCGGGATGCTAGTCGTGCATCATCCCTTTAACCGAGAGCTTGTAGACTGCAGCCTCTTCTCTGGGAGATAAGATTCGTAGCCAAAAGAATTTGTTATAATAGGCAGTTCGCGACGACTTCTCTTCCAAAACGCCCCAAAAATTCGATGCCTCTCGTGATGCTGCCTGTATCTATTGCATTTTCTCCTCCTTTGGACGGCACAGCAGCAGCGGTGCTGCTACACCTACCGGCCGTCCTTTCTCCTCATGCTCGCTTCCACATGACGCAGTTCTTCATGACGACGGAAAGCACATCAACAACCTCTCTAATTTTCATTGCCGCTCTGTAGACGTGCAAAAGAATAAATCCAGTAGCACTGAGGGGGGGTGGGGGGGGGCGTACTCTTATGTTTTGCATGCCTTAGCGGTTAGACCATTGACCACGCTTCCTCGAGAGGACGGAGCATTGTTCCCACAGGACCGAGGGGGGGTGTACTCATAGTCGTGTATGCCGTAGTCGTTAGACCATTGACCTCGCATCCCTACAAAGCCGGGACGGAGCACGCCGGGTTCTCACCGGACCAGGCTC